GGATGACAAATGGAGGTCATGTTGATCCTAATCAGTACACATTATATGGAAGGATCCCTGGGTTACAGTTTGTTAATTTGAATGATCAGCTCAAGCTGAGCAAAGGCCAGCAATTGCAGTTAGCTACTAACAAACAGGGTCTGGCTCGTTAGGTGCAACATGGTTGCAAAAAATGATGTTACAAATAAGCTACATGTAAGACTACATGTAAATAAGCAAAAATAAAGGGAAAAATACAAACATCAATCATCAATATCAATATTAAAATCAAGTCCCAGTTCATTCTTAACAGCTTTAATCCAGTCCTCTCCTAAAGCTTCTGCTGCATCAGCATAACTGCCTCTTACAGCAATGAATGAGTTTAGAAACTTCTGACAGTGCTCCTCCACTTTAGGTAACTTCCTTTTAAAACTAAGACTAGCCTTGAACTCTGTAATAAACTTTTCCATGCTACGAGTCTCCCTGACTTCGTCACTAATAAGATGAGCTGCATATAACTGACTGGCAAGATCTGAGAGAGACGTCTTAAGAGAATTGAGAGCAGCATAATGAGCTACAAGAACATCATTGATCACTTTCTTTACTTTATTGACATCAACAGTAGCTGATGGACCTAATAGAGGTCAAAGGTCAGTATATACACACAGTATTATCACTTACTAGCTCCTCCAGTGGATGATACTGATGTTGATTCATGTACTACATTAGAGGAGGAGGAGGAGGTAGTAGGATCTGATTAATATTAAATAAATAAACAATTTTAAATCATTTGTATCTATTACCTGTTGAAGGAGGAGGAGGAAGATTTCTCTGTAGTGATCTAAGGATGTATAATGAAACAGGATCAGCCACACCTTCCAGTGGTATGGAGTAATGTAGTGTAGGGACAGCATCAGGTGATTCATACACTGATATCAGACAAGATGGAGGAAGAGGATAATCTTTGCTACCAAAATTTTCAACATCACAACGATACAACTATTAAAGTATAAACTATTACCAGTTAATAAAAGTTATACTTACCCTACATGGTTCAACATGAGGGTCTATAGTCCAATCAGTAATATTCTTCTTTTGTGGAGTATCAAATTTTAGCTCAATGCATCCATCATTATCTTTGAAACGAAAATAAATGTGTTGTCCTGTCTTAGCATGAGAATGCTTTTTTGTGATGTACTGAAAAATATAATCATTACAAATCCATTGGCAAGCACATGTACCTTAATGAGAGCATTTAGTTTCTTAGCTGCAGTGAAGGTAACCAAATCTTCTACTCCCTCTTTTTCATAAT